TTGCAGTATTTTATATAGAAAATGTGTGTGTATATATATATATATATATATATATATATATATAATATATATATATATATATATATATATGGGATTGGTTTCATTAATCATTCGAAGTACAAAACTCAAACATTTTACTATTTCCAGTTTCTTAAATGTAAGAATTTGCTGTTTTACAGTATATTTCTCTAATTGAGAGTATGGGATATTGGTCAAATGAAACAAATAATATGAATATGGCATCAGGCTCAGGAAACAGAAAAAGTGTTTGTAGTGCTGAGATCAAAACTATGGAGAGAACATTTGAAATCAAAATTTAGGTCAGTTTCATAATCTTTAATCAGATAGTTCCCAATTCAGATCCAAATTTAGCTCATTTTAGACTTACTTTTGTTCTTTAACAGCTGCTTGTGTACAGACATTTAATGTTTGTGAAAGATTTTTGTTAAGAAAAAAAACTTGCTTTTATATGTCTTGAAGTAAGATATCGAAAAAAGTATCATCCAGACAACAACCATTCAATTATAATAGAATCTTAGACGCATGTCATTCCTCCACTCTCTCCAGTCATTTCTGGGCTGTCACTTTCAAATAGACAAGCAAAAATACCTGAAAATATAGTTCAGTAACTCAGCACTGATTTTAAAATTTTCTTTTTCTAAAAAAAAAAGTCCTGAGAGTTGAGGATGGTCAGTCAGATTCTTTATATGTTACCTGCAGGCCACCATGAGTGCAACCGTTGCAAGCAAGCACATTACACATTTTTATTAGGTACACAGAATGTAACCTGTGTATCAGTTTAAATCAGTGAAAAGGAGAGCATAAGACTGTAAGGAAGAGGGCTGTGAAAGGCAAAGCTGTTGGTATTTTCTGGCTCTTTCTGCATGACTAGAAAAGGAAGCAGCTGGCCCACCCAAACACATCAACACAGCACCATGTCAGCGGGTATCAGCTAAACGGCTGGCATGACACACACACACACACAACGCACACACTTTACTTTTAATTTAACCCTAAATAACACACTAACCTCCTGGCAGTCTGCTGCTGTGCACGTGTGCTCAGCACAGCGTATACATCCATGCACAGACCTGTATCTGCATCTTACCTGTGGTGGAGTGCAGACTCTCCAAGCTCCAATAGCGAGACAGGACCCCCCTCAGCGTGCCGCCCAAGCTACCTCCTCCTCCTCCACCTCCACCCATACATCCACCCACCCCGAGACCTCCGTCCACCATGCTGTCCACCACTCCGCCTGTCGGGCTTCCTCCGTCCGAGTCGGACCCAGGTGACAGCCCCGAGCTGCCGCTGCCGCTGCTGCCACAGCTGCCCCCGGGTAAGGGCACACCCCCCTCTGAGCCCTGCTGGGTCCGCATCCCAATTTGGATGCGCGACAACAAGGGGGGAGATGAAAGTGGGCAGTGAAGAGGTAAGTGGTAATGAAGAGGAGGCAAGGTAGCTGAGCAGGTGGTTTATTCCCTCAGCAGGGAGAGAGCGCAGAGGAGGAGGAGGAAGGGGAGGAGGAGGCGGCCTCCTAGCTGATATCTGCTGCACTATTCGCTGAGGTAAGCTTCAGCTGTCAACTTGCTGCTTCCTCCTTCCACGCGCAGAAGAGGAGAGCTGTAGCGTTGCTCCTCTCCTCCCTTCACCTCTCTGCACTGGATCACTTCTCACACAGTGGCTGCCTCCTCTCTCTCTGCTCCTGTTTCTCTGGGTCTCTCTACCCATTTGCACACTGCTTCATTTCCTCACATTAACTCACAGTCCATCTCTCTCTCTCCCTCTCTCTCTCCGGGCTGACATCAGTGGGGGTCCTGCAGGGGGTTTCTGGAGTTCGACTGTGTCATTTGCCCGCTAGCGACAGCATGGACAGCTCACTAATGGTGCAGGATCCATTTAGGTGGAGACTGAAAACAGCCAGCCCCCCCCTACTGTGAGTTACAGAGAAGATTTTTTGGATTAAATTCCTGGGGATTTTCAGCCAAATTACGTAGATGCTAAGTATATATATAGCAGTACAGTACAATCCAGATATGAATAATACCAATACAAATGATAAATAAAATAAAAAAATAAAGATTGTATTACCCGACTAGAAGAGGATGACAATGGCTGAGTTATATGAGATTTTTGAATCAGAACAGGCTCAGTATGTTGGCATACTGATGTGTGGGCTAAACCTTATGTGTATAATTCCATCCAATATTCAGTAACTTTTAAAGGGTAAATGAACAGCAGGCTGAACAGCAGTGAAAAACTGTGTTTTACTGCCCTCTCTGGTTGAATGTTTTAATTCAGTTTCATCTCTGAGCACACCAAACAGTGATGTCACCATGTACTGAGTGAGAGAAATACAACTGATGAATATTTTTTAAGCTCAATTGTCCTTCCAATTATTTACAAATTAATTAATTCAATTCAATTTGATTAATAATCGAATCACCTGAGGGCTGCAGAAACAAGAATTCCAGCTGCTGTTAAGTTGCTGCCTCTACCTTAATACTAGTTATGTCCCTGTGACTAATTTCGCCATCCATTAAACAGAAATAAAAATTTAGACTAATAATTAATTAATAATAATTACACAACTTCTCTTAATGCTCACTTAAAGGATATATATATATATATATATATATATATTATATATAATATATATATATATATATAATATATATATATATATACGAAATCCACTTGCCACTAGATGTCGCACTCAAGCACAGCATCTCAGACCAAATGAGCTCTATGGCTGACCAGACTCACTAAAACACTAAGATCACCAACTCTCATTTGGTGGAAGTAAATCATTAATTCACTGACACAGACAAAAAAAAACAGCAGTTCCAGTCGCTCTACTCAGCTGCACATGGAGGGACTCACATGCACACACAGCCAGACCAGGTAGGCATAAGGTGTGTGATGTCATTCTCTGCTCGGGACACCATGATTCCAGTATATCTTTACATAGCAAATAGCTGTTTGCTGCTATACTTATATTCTCATATACATGTGTATCGAATATTTTATATTGCATACATCAAAATGTATTTTATACACCTTTATATAGGCTATATTTAATATGTAGCACAAAGCCACTGTTGTCCATTAAGCTCTTAGTCATGGTCAATGAACTGGCCATGGGTAAAACTGAAGCCATACACCTGAGGTTAACAGTGTGTGACTTCATAGTTGACTGTCGGACTCTTTGAGAGGAGACCACCATTACTGAGGGATTTCAGCCTAATGAAACCGCCTAAAAGAGAGATTATATGACAAAAAGAGATATATTACTGTACAGATTAACTCTGCTCTGCTGGGGATCAAAACCATAATGCATAGCATTGTGTAAAAAGATTAAAGTGGCTTTATCGTGTGTGTGCTGTCCCAAGTCCCAGCACAGTGAGATGGCACTTGTCTTATGATTCAGCTCACAATTCAATTTAGTCCATTGAATCTAATTATACTGAGGACATCTGCAGCAAGACCACTGACCTCACTGTGAGAGCATGTAATCTACTGCCTGACAGAGTGAGCTCACACTGTGTGTGTGTGGGTGTGTGTGTGTGTGTGTGTGTGTGTGTGTGTGTGTGTGTGTGTGTGTGTGTGTGTGTGTGTGTGTGTGTGTGTGCAGGCATGCCCTAATGTGCATGAGTGTCCCAGACGTGATGCGTTCATGGACCACAACTCAGGTGTGTACTGTCACTGAATGGATGATGATGGTAAGGCTAATGTCACTACAGCAGGACAGCTGTGTATACATTAGGAATGTCCAAAATGGTTTTAACAGGGCTGATACTGATATGATTATTATTCTAAAATAAAAAGAGAATAAAAATAAACACATAAAATTAAATGATAGCATAAAATGAAAAAATGCACATCCCTAAAGACTCTGATGGCTTGTATCTGTTTGCATGGATGTGTATGGTTAGAGGGACTTTCTGAGCTTTGTGTTTGAGTGAGAATGTACTGCAGCCAGCAGGTTGAATAAGGAACTGCAATGGTTCTGTTTTAATCCCAGACATGTCAAAACACTGCTCTCTCATGTAAAATTATGAGGCTGCACAGAAAACATAATGGACAGGTCAATGATTAATGTGTCGCTAGCAGCCCTTCAAGCTGTAAATTGTGTTCATACCCATGTAGTGCAATGTGTCTGTAGTTACAGCAATGTAACTGTCTCAGTTCCAGTTACACACAGTACAAATTCATCATAGATACACTGAGGTGAAAAATCATCAAGATTAACATTCATCAGTGATCTAATGACCTGAACTAATCAAATCTGCACTGATGTAATGCACTGCAGATTCAGCCTTTGTAGTTGTAATAGTAGAGTAACAATCTAATACACTGTACATGTATTATTGCTAATACATTATTTCAGTTAGGAACCTTCAGATCACATGAGCTGATTTTGGCATTATTTGTATTATTGCCTTATAATAGCACTTAAAATGTAAACATAGTTCATTAAATGATGTGCACATTACTATAAAGCATAATGGCACTTCATTTGGGAGAGTGACACCATTTAAATGTCCGTAATAGCAAAATCCGCACGCTGATTACACTATGATAATCACTATTTCTTAATCATCAACTGGGGGGACAATAAATTAAAACAAGGAAATTAGCTGGAAACTGGGACTCTGTACATCTCAAAAGTCTTAAAGTTTTAATTTCCTTTAATCCCCGTTCAAGCAGAGCGCAATGCAAGAATTAGCTCTATATGGTCCTCTGACTGCAATGCTGGACAGCTCTGCCCACAAAATAGAGGTTTCAACACCAAACCCATCACTTTTCCTACCTTCACCACTTCTCTCTCTCTCTCTCACACACACACACACACACACACACACACTGGTAGTAGAGCTGCCATGCAAGGCGGTGAAACTGCTTCTGCATTCTAACAGCCAGTGCACCACTCAACAACCCCAGATGAATCTGCAGAGTGCAGTATCTAAAATGCAGAAGACTGGACCAGAGTGGGTACTTACAGGAGTAGGAGATGCGTCTTCTCCAGCCCAGGCAGTCAAGACCAATGGGGGTGCTCTGAGAGAAGCAGTGGGCCTTAAGGGGCATCCCCCGGAAGACATCGATGAGCCCTAAGGTGAATCCAGCATCAGCCTGTGGTAGGAGGATTAGTTCAAATCACTGATATTATCACCGACATACATTTGTCTGCTAACATTAAATTAGAAGTGGACCTGTCAAACCATAAAAGACAATCTTTTACTGGATACAACAATGATGTAGATAAAAGAATACAAGACGAATGGGCATGCATGAACTAAAGTGCAGAAAAGAAGAGAGAAAATAGATTAGAAGGCCATGCCTGAAACAGAAAGTATTTCCACGACAAACTGTCAGAAACCACCAGAAAACAGACTGTCCAGCAAGGAACTCAGAAGCAAGGCAGAGAAAGAAGAAGATGAGGACTACAAAGACTTCCAAGGTTTGGATCTTTGTTCTGGCAGCTCACCACGCTGTGGACACATCTTACTTTGTCCATGTCTTCAGATAACAGTGTGCTGAGTTGGACCAGACTCCTTCTGATGGCTCTGGCCAGTTTGCGTTTGTATTTCTTTTGCTCTTCAATCCAGAGGTCGTCTGAACACTTTTGCCTTCGCCTTTGGCCACCTCCATCACGGCCTACATCCACCTGCCAGCCAGTCCTCAGCCCACCAGGAACCACAGAGGCCTTCCCTTCGCCCTTCAACTCCAACAGCTTTCTTGTTCTGGACTTGTTGGCAGGTCGACCACCGTTTTGTGTGCCCTTTTAAGTGTACAGTTAACTGGTTAGTCACAGTCACCGTTTTTATACTGACTCCACTCCCTTAAAGTCCAGCCCAGGTACAGTGCATGACTGTGGCTATTTTTACCTCCAGATAGTGATTGTAACTTCGGATAAAGGACAAGTATGCAGTCAGTGCTGTCAGTGTGTTTGTATGTGACATGGGGATAAGAGTGAAATCACTACAGGATCTTGTACTTGTCACTTCCATTCACTGATATAGAGCTGGTGTGTCAACCCCAACACCTTTGCAATTTCAGTGTCCTGTCCATTGATCAAATTTAAAAAACGCTAAAGGAAGGAAATAGAACAGATTGAGTACCCAATAGGGTTGCTATTGTTGATTAATCTAGTTTAGTCTATAAAATGCTTATCACAAATTCCGAGAGCCTAAAGTGATGTCTTCAAAAAACTTATCTTGTCCAACCAACATTCCAAAACCCAAAGACTCTTTACTTACTATCATAAATGACAAAGGAAAGCTGCAAACCCTTACATTTAAGAAAGTGATTTAATTGATGATCAGAATAGTTGGCAACTAATTTTCTTTTGATCCACTAATTGTTGCAGCTCTCACAAAACAGATATGCTTTAGTTTTATCAAATGTATCAATCCCAACTAACACGCTCAACCCAGGACCATCCACACTTCTTTACACCCCGAGTATAGTTTCATTGTCAGGAAAAAGTCAATGAATCAATAAACAATGCTGTTTTCTTCCTGCATAATCCCCAAACAGCCTTCTTGACAACTATCTGATAAACTTCAGATATCAGTCAGCTTGGTAAGGATAGTTTGGCCAGCTGATGTGCTGCTGACAGGCAGCCGGTTTGCAGCACAGAGAATACACATGCACACATGAATATAGGAATTGTTGTGTTTTTGTTACCATAGAATCACCCTTTTAAATCAGACGCCATGGGTCACCTTCCATGTAGTCATGTTGAACCACCATGTTTTTACAGTATCCCAGAATAGACAGACCAAACACTCGCTCTAAATAGCCACTTTAGTTTCTCCTTTGCACTTGGAAAGGGAGGGTGAAGTGAGGTAGTGACAATCTGCAACTACAACACTAGATGCTACTAAATCATACACACTGGTCCTTTAAGTGTCAAGTGTGAGACTTATGCATGAAGGACCCCATTCCGTATGTGTGTCAGGCCAATTTGTGTTAATCTGGCCCAGAGGAGAGAACAAAGGAACAAGTGAACATAAAAGACCACACAAATTGTTCTGATTATGTGATAAGTCTGCAGTTGGCAATGCTTAAGAGTCTTATGTATTCAGTCTAATTTGGGGAAAATCCTGTGTAGCAGCAGCTGCTTTATAGTCTTATTCTAGTTTGTACCATGTGGGAGGAAGCCACAAGGGGGGGCTAGTCCTCAAGTTATCCTGCTCTGAATTTTGTATCACAGGACTATTGTAGGAACTGGCAAGGAGGTAGGACGATGGTAAGCAGCTAATTCAAAGAATGGAAACCTACCACACTACTGGGGCCGGGAGGGAGAAAAAGCTGATTCTGCTGTTTCTCTCCTCCTCTTCACCAAGTTCACAGAGAGCCACAAAGAAAGAGGGCCATGTTCTCTGTCCCAACCAAGATACTGACAGATTGGCAACCACCCTCAGACACACATTAATACACAAAAACACCACTGATTGCAGAGCAAGAGATTAACTGGTCTTGGCTTTTTTTTTCTATTTTCATACTTTGTGTGTGTGACATGAAGGCGGGGATTAAACACTTTTCCCAGGAAGCTGAAACCCCATTCGCATCTTAATTAAGGCCTGAACAAGAATTGTTTTATCTATCGGGTTTGATAGTGAGACTTCCAAAAAGTAGGGGCCTTTATGACATTTATACATACACATCAGAAATATGAAGATTAGATATTAAGATGACAGTTTCTTTGTAATGATGTTACACATTTCTTTTGAAATTTGACAAAACTCTGCTCTGTGCGTGAGGAACAGACTTTTTCTTACCTCTAATTCGTGGATGGAGCCAATGGCATACAGGCTGATGTGTGACTGGCAGTCTATTCTGCCCTCGGCTACATCCAGAGGGCTGAGGCAGAGACCCAGAGGGCTAGCTGAGGGTTTTAGGGTTTTAGGTCTCTCGGGGGGGTCTGTCAAACCCTCCACGCTGACTGACTGGCCCAGAAGGATAGGAGAGACAGAACTGGACCTTGCTGAGTGAGGGTAGCGAAAGATTTTGCGCTGAGCTGCTGGCCTAGGGCTGTTAGGTTTAGGGCTCATTGGTCGTAGGGGACTCTCAGTCAGGCTCTCATTGGCCACTGGATGAGACCTGGTCCAGGATGGAGAAATCTGATGAGTAAGGATGACTTGTGAGCAGGGGCTCAAAGGTGAGACAGGGCTGATGTGATTGGGCAGTGGGACTGCAGAGTCATCTAAAAATGGAGATAGGCCAGACACACACAGTGTGGTAGGTAGAACATTTGGGGAACATTTTCTTTTCTGGCCCTCAGATTTGCACCCGTGGGGGGTTTCCATTCCACTCCCTTGTGGAACTCCACGCTTGGTGATAGGATCTGTGTGGCGAAGGGTTCTGAAGGAGGATGGTGACCCTGGACTGCTGAGCCTGTCCAGGAGTGGAGAGGACAGAAAGTCCTGCCCAGAAGCCATGTTGCTACATTCCCCATCTGGCACTGAAAGAGTTCTTTTCAGAAGCTCAGCCTCCTTTGCCTTTTTCAGCTTCCTCCAGGATTGTTTGGCTTTACCTGAATCTACATCAATGCCCATAGTGGCCTGCTCCTCATTCTCCTTATCCATTGAACGGGACTCAAACAGACTGGACAGGGACTTGTGTGCTTGTGCGAAGCGCATGCGGATGTTTAAACTGTCGTTGCTCTTGCTCCTCTTGTAGGTCTGCCCATTAGGTGACTGGACTTGCCTAAGGAGGGGGTTGTCTGTGCATGGTCCTTCGTTACCCTCCCTGCTACTCCCTTGGCCGACTAGCTGACGGACATGCCGAGTGTGGGGTGTAGAGGGCAAAAAGCCACAGTCATCTTCTTCTACCTCGTAATGGAATGAGGAAAATGCTTGGTGGACTGTTTGGTTGAGGATGTCATCTTTGACAAAAACCTCATCATCTGAGTTGTCCCTCAGCAGCCCTTGCTCAGGCAGAAGGCCTTCCCCTACTCCATCTGATGACTCCTGGGGTACCTCCTCACTTTTGGCACCCTTTGAGCCCTTAGCCTTCCTAAAAGAAGGCATTTTAGCAAAGACAGAAAACTTAGAGCCTTTATTTCCTGTCTGGTTGCCTTTTGTTTTGCTTCTCTTCATTTTGTCAGGATTGGCATTTCTGGCTGAAATAGCAAAGTGAGGATCTTCCAACTCATCACAGTTGCTACTAGCTGAGGTGTAAGACACAGCATCATAGGCAACAGTCATAGGTCCACAGCGCTTTTCACTACTACTACGTAGGACAGGTGTTGCTGGGTTCACCTCAGGTTCTAACTCAGCAGTGGTAAAAGATTCTTCCTCCTGCTCATTCTGGCGATGTGGACTGGAGATGTCCCCTGAAAAGTTAACATTATCCTTAACTTCCTCAGCAGGCCACATGATCTCATATTCTTTCGTTGTTTCTATTTCTAAAGCATCTTCTGTTGTGCAACAATGTTCCAGTGAACGCTCAGCCTCTAGAATTGGCTCTAAACTACTGACAGCAAGCAGGTTAAGGCTGGTATCAGGGTGTGAGTACCTTACTACCCTCACCTCCTGCTGTGGAGCTGGCAAGCTGACCTTTCTGTGGTCTCTGCACTCCTCAGCCAGTGCATGTTCCTCAAAAGATTTGGATAAGCTACCTCTTTCTTTGTTGGGTAAGCTGTGATCCCCTGGTTGGCAGCAATAGTGTTTCTCTTCTTTAAATTCACTGTCTACTAATAGGCCTCTGCTCTTTGAACTTGACAGTGAAGGCTTCAGGGCTTCATTTCTCTCTGAGTTAGAATACTTGTATTTCAGAATTTCTACAGCAGTGTTATCCTGAATACTCTTCTCTGTCTTTACTTTTTCTAATTCATCTGCATGTGCCAGGCTTAAATGTCTGTGGCTATTAAGGTCTTTCCATAGAATAGATTCAGAGTCCTCACTGCTCCAGTTGGGTCTGTGATCCGGTGAAGGCAGGAACACCTCAGAATCTTCCAGAAGCTTGTCTACCTCTGCCAAGGGGTCAGAGGTCACATTCGTTGATGGCTCAACAGGAGGGCAAATTATTCTCTCATTACTTTTGTAGCTGCTCTGGGTTCCCCCTGAGAAACAGCCTACACCGTCCCCTCTCCCCACCCCATTTATACTGGACTTGGTGTTATTGTTGGAGTCTGAGAGCAGAGAAAGAGAAGCCTGTAGGCTACAGGAAGGTTCAGGGATCTTCAGCTCCAGCTGAACTTGTTTACAATGACTAGAAACTGTGCTGACAGTAGTTTGTATGTTTGTCAAAATGGCCTTTTGAGCTATGTGAATGGACTTAGTAGCAGCAGGACATGTTGATGTTTTTCCTATCTCACTAGGTACATGCTGAGTTAAGTAGGCATCTGGATCCCTGGCATTTGCTTTAGGAATTACTCTCAGCTCACTGTGCTCAGAAAGCTCTTTTGTGCCAAGATCTGAATGTGGATGACTGATTTTGCTTACTGCTTCCACAATTTGTTCCTGGTCAAGATAAACATGACTGCCCTTCACCTCCTGCTCCTTGTTTTGCCGGTGAAGAGAGCAGGGTGACCCTACCCTCCTCCTCTCTCCTTCAATGTTGTTTGATAACAGAGGGGAGGTATCCTCTGCTCCTTGGTTGCTAGGAAAAAACAGATTATTAAACAATGGGGAATGAGGATATTCCTCAGTCCCCTTACCAGTGTCAGATTGGATTTGAGTTGAGTCAGGCCCTGGTTCTACACAGCCTGAGACCCAGAGCTTTTTGACAGAATGGAGCTGCCAATTAGTGGGTATTTCTATCGTAGCACCCCCCTGATCCAATTGATTAGGGATTAAATTCTGTGGTTGACCTGGAATTTGCCGTGGTTGTAAGTTTGTATTCTGAAGTCGTTTCTGATCGGGTAGCCTCTCAGTGAGCTCCTCCCTGTCTACAATTGGGACAGGTAAGGTTAAAACAGAACCCTTTGGAACCACAGTCAGCTCAGTAGCACAGGTATCCGATGGAAAAGAGACTGTGGTCTCTCTGGAGAATGTGATGGAGGAACAGATTTCATTTACTGTCCCAGGTGGTTTAGTCCTCTCTGTTGTAGTGCCAACACACCCACACTGCTCTGCCTGGAAGTAGACACCTGACACCCATGCCTTATCCTGGGGCTTTGTTACACTAGTACAAACCTGAGGGTGGATCTCTGACAGTCCTCTCTTGGAGCTCTCCTCACACAGAGGTTGTGAGCAGCAAATATCCACCTTGTGTGCCAATACATCAATTTGTGTATCGAGTATGTTTCTGAGCCCTGACTTTGTATTATGGGAGACACTATTTGTCTTTGTACCATATGCTTCTGTGATGTTTGGACTGGCTACAACACTTTCTGTAATTATCTCAGATTTAGAGTGTGTTGCTGTACAAGTACGGTCAAATGTTGGTGCATTTATTACATCAGTATAATGTGCATCAGCTAGGCATGTGTTGTCTATACAATTTTTTGCTATTTTGTGATGTTTTTCACTACAATATGTCCCCACACTCTCGCACAAGTCCCATTTGTTCTTGCTGTGCACTTTGTCATATTCGATTATATCCTGGTGTTCTATATTTTCTATGTGTGTGTGATGTCTATCATTGCAGCCATTGTTGCATATATTTAAACCTGTGTTTTTCTTTACAGAGTAAGTGCTCAGCAGTTCAATATTCTCTACTTCTACATCCTGAACTTTAAATAATCTTTCTCCGATTGTGTTCTCTAAGCTTTTTCTATCAGTGTTTCCTGTCTGTAACCTTGTCTCATGTTCATGTGTGCTTTTCTGTTGTTGTGTCTCTACAATTTTGGCCTCTGTGGGATCTACATGTATCATGCATATTTCTGAGTGTGTAGATTCCTTCAGCCTGTTGGGATTGCTTTCTTCAGGTCGCACATGCAACTTCACTCCCTGAGTGTCTGGTGGACTATTTACCTTTGTCTCAAAGGTGTCTGTGTTGTGTTGGCTCTGAACATGTAAACTGTATGGCTCCGTGCCTCCCTGTAAACTGGACTGTTCTTGGTGCAAGTCTAGTTTTAGCTTTTCTGTGCTTAGATGGGGTCGGATCTCGACTGAGCACAGGTCTCTGGTGCTGAGCTTCAAGGGAATATTAGGGTCCAAGTGATTCTCTGGGCTTTTCCTCCTGCTACATGTGGATAGTCCAACATAAGTCTCTGTCGCATCTCTGTGGCTGTCCTTGGATGTCACAGACTCTCTTTGCCAGGCTTTACTCTGCCCATTGCGGAAGCTGCTTCCTCGCTGACCAATGTAGGCGTCCTCCAGTCCCAGCAGGGCATCCAAAGAGTCCTCCCCATCTGGACTCAAATCTGACAGGGTGTCGCTGTGCCAGGAGCGGGAGTCAAAATACTCATCAGATGTGTCACCTCCTCCTATGCCTCTCTCACACCATTCCAGGCAGTCAGCGCCTAAATCCCCCTCTAAATCTAATCCTTCAGAGAGATGGGGGGAGTCTTCAAGGGCTTCCTGGGGCTGTGGACACAGGAAAGTAGAGGGGGGTGAGATAGATAGCCCAGTAACAACAGAAGGTTTAGCACAATGCTAGTAAGCTGATGCTCATACAGCAACTGACAAAAAAGAAACAGATAATTGTCGAAAAAAGTCAAATGTATAAATGATGGACACACAATGTCTCTGACTTCACTGTAAAGTCCATTCTCAGTGTATGTGTGCTGGTGGCTTCAGGTTTCTACATTACACCATAGAAGTTGCATGCTGGACTAGGACTGACTTCCAAATTATTTGTGATGTCACAAATCCTGCTCGTAGGCCCTGGCCCTCTAAATCAGATTTTCAATGAGCACAGAGAAACTCTCCACTTTCAGCAGATTAATGTAAAACCATCCTTCTAGTGTCAAACTCAGCACAGACATCATTCAAACATCACACTGTAGGAACAAGAAGAAACTGATTTATGACTGGAGGGCAGAGATGGGGACTCGAGTTTGGACTCGTGCTCAAAAGACTTCAGACTCGACTCGGACTCGTGTTTTGGGACTCGTGAACAATCATTATGTTTTCTTTTTTGGCGTATTAATATTGAGGAAACTCTGAAACGTCTGACGAGCTTAATGTGATTCCTTCCTTTTTTTCATGGTAACCATGGTAACCATAGTAACATATTACGCACTGGGTGTGCGGCCTCACACACTAGTACCTCGGATGACGACTATGGCGACCGGCGGCACACCTGCAGCTGCTGCTGTACCATTTGTGACTACATTTGGTTATAAAAACTTAAAACAGGACAGCACCAACAAAAGGAGCGCTGACTGCAAAGTCTGCAGTACCCGAATCAAGGATGCTGGATCCACCACATCACATTTTATCAGGCACCTGAAAACTCACCCGGATAGGTCAGTCACATTAGCGCTTATGGACGGTTAGCTCAGCATCGGCTATGTAACGTTCACTTAGCTTGCTACTAGCTTTGTAACTGAATATTTGAATAGATGAGTGAATGTTAGTTTGCTTGTCGCACTTGTTTGCATTGAGTGGCGTTGACATGACGTAAAAATAAAAAAAAAAGGTCGGGTAACGTTAATCATCTACGTTGCCACCATCTACTGGCTAACGTTAACCGTAGAAAAAAAACATAGTTATACTGTCGGCTTACAGGCAGGCTACAGGTTAATTGTTGACCACGTAACGTTAATGTTACAGGTTTACCAGGTTACCATTACACTGAGTTTGAGTGAGAGGATAGAGGAATGTGTCATTAGAGACCCAGTGTATTTAAACAATACGGTTGCAGAGTGCAAACCTTTAACTTTTTTGTCCACTGGCAAAATGGCTAGTCTAGTGAATGTTGAAATTTTACCAGCCACTCAATAGATTACCATTGTTATTTTGAGTTTTACTTTTATGCAAGGAATCATTTTTGTCATACAAGGTGCCTTTTGGAACAAAAATGGTCATGTTTTAATATCACCAGTTTATAGACTTACAGTATATTTCAGATAATATGGCAGCAACAGTTTTGCTTTTTTTTGTGAACAAATTTTTAATTGCAAATAACACAGAAGTAACATATACAAGTGTTTAAAGTACTTTTAAGTGTTTTGCTTACAAGTTGTTTGCATTTAGCTAAAGTGTGATGTTTTGCACTAATTGGAATGATGTTAATTACAATGTCTTTGGGTGAGGTGTAACATTTTCTATATTTGTTCTTATTATGGTCCCACTGAGCCTGCACAATAGGGGGCAAGATATACTGTAACTATATGTTCATGTAGGAAGAGTACAGTTTTCTTTAAAGGAAGGCATTCATTGTGTGTTTTCTTCATATTGCATTGCAATAGCCTGTTTAAAGTGATCATATAACAAACAACTAATCAGTACTGATACTGTATGCTAATAGATAAAGGAGTGATAATAATACAGTAAATGCTTTGAATTTCTTAAATATAGCTGTGCAGTTTTCTTAGTAGACCGGATAGCTGCAGATGACAGAAGGCTTATTACAACCAGAAGAGACATGTGACTTTTATTTTTTAGAGACTTGAGACTTGACTTGGACTCGTGACCAAAGACTTCAGACTTGACTTGGACTTCCAAAAAAAGACTTGTGAACATCTCTGCTGGAGGGGACTTAAATCTGACACTGATGGTCCGATGCTGTATTGTATCTCTTAATATAGGCATTTTTTCTTGCAAAAATGTTTTGCAAAGGTCAGGAGTTATTTGGCTGATAAAATTACTTCTTGTAAAAAAGTTTGAAAATCACTATCTTGTGGGGTCGGTTGACTGACAACGACCTGCTGGTATTGCTAGGAGATGGTAAATAGTAAATGAACTGTACCAATATAGCCCCTTACTAGTCTTCCGACCACTCAAAGCGCTTTACACTATACACATGTCACATTCAACTATTCACACACATTTATACACTGATGACAGAGGCTGCCATGCATGCATGTTGCATCAAAAGAAACAAATTCACACGCAATTTGTGGTTCAGTATCTTGCTCAAGGACACTTCGACATGCCAACCTTATGATCAGTGGAACAACCGTTCTTCCACCTGAGCAACAGCGTTCTGAGACACACTGTCAAATGTGTACTCTGTGTACAAAATCTGCACTACTAACTGGAGAACATGAGGCCTCCACAAGTTTGTCTTCCACTCCAGCTAACATTACAATTCATTCTCACTAGAATTTACCCTTTGTGTATGCTACTTCAACACTTATGTATCTGTCATTTAAAATCAGAGAGTAATGTACAGAGTCTTGGAGTAGAGTACTGAGTTTTAAGGTCACAGAAGGGGAGCCACATTGACCTTCCAGCTAATAAACTTCTTATTAAATTGGATTGAATTAAAGCGATATAATGAACCACCACAGATATTGCACCAAACAAATAAATCTTTTTTGCACAGTTTTGACAAAATAAGTACACAAGTCAAAACAAACAAAGACATGTGTTACAAGGGACAAATGTAAAATCAAACTAAACTGTTACTGTTACATAATCTCAAAAGTTCTCCATACTGTTGATGCTTTGAGCTAAAGTTTATCTCAAGCAACAGGTTTCTCTCCCTCTTAAAAGCAATGTGCACACATACACAAATACCGACACATAAAAGTGCCTATGGTACCTGCACAATTCTTATGAATGAAATCAACTTTTACTTACTCTCCAGTGTTTCAATGCATCTCCTGTATCCAGCACCAGAGCAAAAAGGCGAGCAGCAAACCAGCTAAGCACTGCTCCCATGGCCTCCCTCACACATATGCTCACACACATTACATATACACGCTCGCAGGGTCTCTTCTTTCCCAATACTACATGCCTGTAGCTTCCCTCTGCGCTTCTCTTCCTTTGTCTCCTGCTTTATCTCCCATGATCATCAATCCTGCTTGCTAAGAGCTCCAAAGTCTTAAATTACAGAACCACCCCTTTCTTTATCTACCTGCAGTGACTGGCCTGTACATAAAGCCTTGCAGCAATATAACTGTACACACGGGAAGGAGCATGACTTCCCTTTTCACTGCATGTTAAAGATGTGGTTCCTCTACAGCAGCCGCAACCTAATCCAACCTCAAAACAGCAGGTACACAGTGATCTCTGTGTCTCAATAACAAGGAAAGACATTAAGAAGCCCTGCTATAAATACAGAGCTGCACCTTCAGGCAGTGCAGGGTGCATGACAACTCAACTCAAGGACAGGTAACCTTAATGCAAGCTCACTCCAATCACATTAGGGAGTAAATAGCTCCATGGGTTGTAAACTAAAATAGGGTCTGCACAAGTCTGCCAAACTTCCATTGTTGATCATTAAGTGTTTTGGATGGCGCTATCTACTAGTTAGAGTCCGAGCATATAGTTTCTCTTTCTGGCCTAAACAAATCCCTATAATTCTGTAATACTGAAATACTGTAATCTATGAGCAATAGTGTTAGCACTTTAAAATAATTTAAAGACAGTTCAGATTAAGAGGGCTTTCAAAACACAGAGCATTAAACAATTATACTATACATTTCTAATAAAAGAAAACCTCAGAATAAATCTCGCTGATTTTAAAATGATTAAGTAATACAACAGAAAAGCCTTGTAAAGATTATTCTAAGAATGTGACCAAAATGTCAGGATCCTGTTGCGTGGCCCACATGGATTCTTAGAATCCTTTAACATTCAAATGCAAATCCTGTAGGATTCTGAATCACACAAATCATTACAAGACTTCAAAACAAACCATAAAAGGTAGCGGTTTAGTAAATTAATAATTATAGTTTAAACATAGCTTTAGAGCATCCGCAGAAACACATTTTAGCCAGTGATAGAAGCAGAGTAATAAGCAAAAAGATACCTGTTTGACAAAACAGTCTACACTCAAGGTCTACTTACTCACTTTTGCTAGACCTCAAGTACCGAATGTGTTATCAGCTAAGGTCAAGAAAACCTTTCTGTTCTTAGGGATATTTGTTTGACCCATTATGCACACTAAATGTGTATGTTTATTACCGCAATTCACTGTTCATGCAAACTAATTACTACTAATACATATATACTACACCAACTGCAGCTGTCACCAACTCAAATCATCACTGTTTGTAAAATGCAATGGTATTTGGGCCATCAGTGGCCCAATGATGTACTGTGATAGATGTACTGTACATGATACAGTCCCTGCAGGATTTCATAGGCTTTCTTGTTTTTTGGAGGGGGGGGGATTTTAATGACAGATATTAAAAAAAAAATTGGGATGCATGTTGTGATGTTTTTGCAATGAATTTGTGGGAGAAAGTGAAAAGCTGCAATGTATAATTTATTAAAAATAGAGTTTGAGTTCCTGTGAGAATAAAACTTAATCACGACTTCCTGGAGGTACTGTGGATACATATCAGTGATGACCCATAATGTGAGAAGTAGCAGTTAAAACTGTGATAGTAATCACATTTTCAAAATAGATGTGGTATTTCTGACTGTTAGAACACAAAAATTATGAATCATGTCTCCAGTTCACTCAA